CAACCTATACGGTATATATGTATGTGTTTTTTTTCTTTTATATATGCATTTCTAAGAGATGAAGTGGCTTTTTTCAAAATTTCTTTTATTCAACATTTCTTATTGTCTAACACACCATGAGTATTTAACTGGAGTATAATGTAATTTTATTCAACAGTTTATTCCTCGACGAGGATTGAAATAGTTTAAAATTTAAACGCAATTTTGAACATAAATATATATATATATATATATATATATATATGTATTTAAAAAAAATATATAAAAAGTATTAAGCGAAAGCAAAAAAAAAAAAAAAAAGAAAAGAAAACAATAAACAATTTTATATAAAATTAAACATAGGTGTACACAATGCGGATCCAGTCAAGCTTAGTGGTAAATGAATTCATTTTAAAACTGTGCCAAATTGTACAATGAAAAACCAATTATATATGACTTTATTTTTTTGTGATTTAACTGCCGCCAGAAACGGAACTATTTACATAAATGTTATTATTACGAGTTTCCTTCTTGAAAAAAAAAAAAAAAAAAAAAAAAAAAAAAAAAAAGAAGGAAAATATCTGCACTTGATTTGTGCAACACCACAATCTTGTTAATAACATTTTGATTACTATCTTACTTTCATTTATTTTTTTTTTTCATTTTGTTTGTAATTAATTGGTAGTTTATGTGTTCGTTTTTTGTTTTTTTTTCTTGTTGCCATTAGCATTAACATTAATAGAAAATCATGGAAATAAACAATTTTTTCTTTTTATATGCTCGCACATAACGCAATAGTTTCGTTAAAAGAAAACTTATATTTTCGTTAGAAGGAAATAAGTATGAAATTTTAGACACAAACCCTTAAGTGCTGTCAATTTTACTCAAAAAAGACTTAAGGTACGAACCTTCAATTTTCATCTTAATTGGATAATTATTTGGTTTCGAAAATACTCTTCTCAAAGAGAATTATTACCATAAACGATTTAAGCAACAAACTCATAACGGCTTCTATCTTTCTCTCTATCGGTTCTCTCAACATTCTCACGTAGCTGGGCAAGTTATTTTGTTTGTTTTATTCTGCTTCTCTTGAGACGTAGTAACACCTTGTGGATTTTTTTCTTCCTAAACAATCTTTCATATAATCAGAAGTGATATATGAAAAGCAATTCATAGATAAGAATATTTATCACTCACATGTGATATCGTTTTTCTTGAAACTATATATATATCGAGTGTTTCAATTTTGCAACCGTTTAGTATTAAATGTAAGCTAAAACTTCTAGAGAATATTCATATTAAGTGCTTTGCAACATCCAGATGGACCCATACCAATCGATTTGGAAAGTGATTCTAGGCTTGTCTATCCGTCTGCTCGTCTTATTTGCAGCCCACAATATTTGAGATAAATTGGTGCCTTGACGCTTTTCTGCCTAAGGACGACCGCAATGGCAAATGATTCGAAATGATTCGGAACACTTGCTCGACCACTTCCCTTATAAAGCCTTATTTTGAATAGTTACTATACGGATAACTACGGCTGGGTAGCGATCCGATATGATGTGTTTTTTTAATTGCTTTCGAAAAAAACAATTATTTGTTACCCGCGCTGGACGGAATTTTTCTTTAAATCAATATTTTTGTTGATTTATGGATATTGAATATTCGATGTTTTGAAAATTAGTTGAATTTTTTTTATTGGTTTCGAAAAATATAATTTTCTTTACCTGCTCCCGATGGAATATTTCTTTAAGTCAATATTTTTGAAAAATCATACATGCTTCACTGGATATTGAATTTTCGATATTTTAGTTTTTCTTTTTTTTTTTTGAATGGAAAATTGCGAGCCGCACGGTCAAGAAAGCTCTATAAGGAATCGCTGTCTTGCAGGAGATGTTGTGCCGTCATATTGGTTTTCAAAAATGATTTAAGAAGTACCTCTATCAGCTTGCAGAACTTCCAAAACATTGGTTTCAATATATTGGCTCTTATTTCATAGATAAATTCGGAAAGACTACAATATGTGATCCTAGGTTATACAAAATTGTCTAAAATTTAAAATTCGCTTATTAATATTACATTGATGTTTTCCGATAAAAGCAAGGAAAGAAAATTACTGCACTTATTATCAAAAGACACCATATTATGACATCATCGAACGTTAAAACTCGACGAGCAATTTCGCCTGCTTTTGTCAAGTTCCGAAAATCATATCATATAATTTTTGCGTTTGCTTACACGGACAGATAGACGGATATGTTCAGACCTTCTTAGAATTTCAAACTGATCAAGAATGTATATACTTTAAAGCATCTGCGACTTTTTCTTCTGCAAATGTTGTGAAAGTTTTCATAAAATGGACGCCTCCCTAATCTTGTAGTGAACCACACTTGTAAAGTTTTTTTTTTTGGTGAATGCGTTATTTTAATAAAATGTCTGGAAATGTACTCGAAAATCTTCATTCCATAATCTTCTTTAAAGTATGACCTCGCATAAGACAAATTTTCAATTTCCAAAGATCTGGGTGAACTTTGTTGATTTACTCAAGATGTTTTTGTTGATTACGCTCGAGTTAATTGCTATGCACAAGAAAACCAAACAAAGGCCTTGACTTAAGTTTTCTCCAAGAAAATTTGGTGTGTAAAGTGTTGAGAAAGTTCGCATGTTTTATGTGAAAGACTCCGATGTTAGTTAAGGAATATATCCAAGAATGGCTTTTAAGTATTTACATGTTATTGGTCATCAGGTGAAGAGAATGCCGCCCAATTCCACGATAATGATGTGCATTTTTTTTTTTTATTTCCATTCTTCTCTAGCCCCTCTAGCCATCATAGGAAATTCACACTGATTGCTTCGCTCGGTTATAACTTCGTGCGGCCGTTTCCATTTCTGAAGCCACGACTTGAGAGCAAGAACATTCAGACCAGGACGTCAAGACAATACTAGAGAGTGTTCTAAAATACTCTTCGATTAATTTATTAAGAATTAACATAAATCAAATGCATCTCGCTTTGAAGGAGCTTAACTTACACATTTTTTTTTATATTTTATAGAACGATGACAATGCTTTGAAGGAAGTCTTTATTTGATATAAAAAATAAGGCAAAGCTGTCCTTATAATAAGACAAGAAAGTGTTTGTTCGTTTGCATATGCAAAGTTAGCGTATAATCCGTTATGATGATCTTACGTTGACTATGCTTCCTATCAAATTTAGTTATTAACGCCAATTTAATGACTTTTGCTGGTTAAACTTGACATGTTGCAACCGATTTGTTGCTTAAATTCAAACATTCCTTGTTAGAAGTTATTATTATTGCTTTTACTTTTTTCCTCCTTTTTCTTTTTGTTTCTTTGCTTTTCTTGGAAGTAGGTCGCGCTGATTGGATTTTACATAAATTTCTTACAAATTGTTTATAGAGTTTTTATTTTAATCTCCACTTAACAAAGAAATGGAAAAAAAAAAATAAAAATACAAATCGTCAGACGTCATAGAGACAATACAACTGAAAGCAACGACTCAATCAAAAGAAAATTACATAACAACTGTAACCGCCGGAATGGGATAAAACTCGGGCAAGCGAATAAAAATACAATTTATATTGAAATGTATTTTTTTTTTTTTTTTTTTTTGATAACAAAATCGAACAGAAATATTTAACGGTTTATGTGGGAATTTTGTATGCAAATTATATTATCATAAAAATATTATATCTTTCATTAAAAACGACGAGCAGACAAAAGCCAAACAATTGACCTTCAGTTCTTCAAGCTATTTACGCTGCTTCGTTATCTAAGCGAGTGGGTGCATATGATTTTTTTTTGTTTTTTTTTTTCGTTTTCAATACCAAAAAAAAATTGATTTAATCTTATGAAATTTATTTTTTATTTTTACATAACTTACACTTGATCATAGTTAGCTATTGCTTTCGTTTTTTTTTTTTTTGTTTTTTACTCGGTCATGCTGTGGCATGTCTGCGACAGGTGTTAATTAAATTTCGATGAACTACAAGTGAAAGTGTGAAACGGGAAAAAATAAACACAAATAAGCAAAATATAAATTGTAACAATTTTTAAAAATAACTTTAAAGTTCAAAATCCTATAAAAATTCTGAAAATTAATTGACATTTATCTTAACCTAATCCATTAATTGAATGACCAACAAAGTTTATTCATTTAACATATGCTTGCTATAATTATAAGTAACTTTCCGTTTTTGCACCCTACGCCACTTGTGGTGCAGAACATGTTACGTTAGTGCGGACGTATGTAACACGCAGAAAGGCTTAACCACCTTTCATTATACCGATCGTTTTAGAATCATAATCTGAATTGATCTAAGCCTGTCTGTCCGTCTGTCCGCCTGATGTCTGGCCACGTAAATTTTTGTTTAGACTACAGGTCATAATTTTTTATATATTTCTGTGATATTTTGTACCCAAGGACGAGTGCTATTGAAAATGGTTCGGATCGCTCCACCTTTTCGATCACTCCCCATGTAACGCTATACTGATAATTTCATGCAAATATAAGAATTGTGCTGGGCAAGATGTAGTACAGGGTATCTAACGGTCGGCTTTGCCCGACTTTATTGTTCTTACTTGGTAAAACTAAATAAATAGTAAGAAAAATAATAATAGGTCGGTGCATAGTTATGAACCCTATTATCAGGCACTCTTGAACACTATTTGTTATGAAAAAAGAGATATAAAGCTTCGAAAACCCTCACCGAAAAGTTCATTGAGATTGCGAAATAACTGCACTGAATGATACAGCGTAATATGACGAATATGAATATGATTACCGACACGCATTTTTGTAACCTAAATGTATTATTATTACTATTATTATTAATTTGGCCAGAGAATAAATTCCAAGACTAAAGTCTTAAGGCACTAGCATCTAAGGCTACCGGCTTTAATGAAAACTCTACCGTATTTCAGATTTGAACCCACGACCATGGAATAGTTAGTCGAGACTCTTTGCCAGCTCGGTCACTTAGCCTAGGACAAACCTAAAAATACAAGTATATTTTTATTCATAAATTTTTATTAACAGATAGCTTGCAAAGGAATGCTTAATGCACCACCACAACCTATTAATAATAATGATTATGAAATTAGAACGATATGTTTACAACAATAATAAAGAGATGGTCGACAGATCCTTATGTAAGGAAAGGTCTTCGCAAATCGTTAGTTGGGCCCTTAATTCCAATATGCACCCTGCATCTGCTATTTGGTCTTCCAATTGCCGTTATTATGCCATCCAAAAATCATGTCGCCTGTTAACCTTACATGGATTTGGATACTAACAAGACATTACATCTTTACAAACTCTGGTTAATCTACCTAGTTTTGAACATTAAAACTGACCCTTTTATGAAACTTATTCAAGGCGATATTTCGTCACCTTCGTCTTGCTCCGTTACCTTCATTTTACTATTTCCTTAAGTGTTTTGAGCAATTTCTCTCTTCTTTAGTTGTCTCAATGTAACAGTAGTTCGAACTTTCCTTTCCCTTCCGCTCTATAATATGTTTTGTTATTGTATTGATACCATTTATCAAGACGGAAGCGGTCTTAATTAGTCCTTTACTATTTACTAGTAGTACAAGTTTTACTTTCCACTTATTTGATTAACTTTGTACCAAACGTTGTTTCACATGCGGACTTTATTAGTTAATCGCTTATGGAAATAATAAATGGATAACAGTAGCAGATAAATTGAACTTTGCTAAAGTATTCAAGCTGTACCAAGACATAATAAGGAAAATGTTTTAAATTAATTTTTATATTTTTAAACAAATGTTCTTTCTAAACAATTTCTTTAAAATAATTCCCCATAAGACGAGGCCAGCTTGCATTTACTTGCCTTAAAACTTTGTTATTCAGTTTCTTTTAATTTCATTTTCTTACATCAGTTTGGAAGACTCCTTCAGTCATAAAACACGTAATGTTTGCAAATTATTTATATATATATACATTTCTTTTTTCGGTCGCAGAAATATTACGTGCGTTAGCACTTATATCAGATCGTCTTAATCATCACCCTATTAAATGAACAGTGAAAAATAAAAAAAATACCAAAAATGTAAGAAAGAGTGAGGTAATGTTGGTAATTTACCGGAACGTTTTAATTATGCACAGCTTATGGCGTATGCTTGGCACAGTGGTCCTACATATGAACAACTATTTACTTACCGTTGTTATACCATACGCACACTTTTGGGGCACAAGCTTGTGTGAATGTGTACAGCAGCCAAAAGGACTTCAGATAGACGCACCTTTTCCTATCGATTAATACTCATCTAAGCTTGTCTGTCCGTCTGTCCTTCTGATACCTGTCTAGGTATTCTTGTGTTCTACGTACAGTTTGAGAATTTTAATGAAATTTGTTACACCGACGTGCCTTGGACCAACGACGAAAACTATTAAATGTGGTTCGATCGGCCCATTCTTTCGACCACTTCCAATATAACGCCCTATTTTGAAAAGTCGTTAGTTCAAAAATTATTGCAGTTTTTTAAATTCGTGGAGAAAAATCATTCAGGAACAGTACGCCATTCCAAACTGTTATGAAAAATTTTGGATCGAATGGGGCAATTTTATGTATACCCTCCGATGTAACTGTTCTTAAAAAAGAGTTACCTTTTCGCATGGTTAAAAAGGGCTAATATAAATTATTTCATAGCGAAAATTGGTCCGTTATTGATATTGATACACACATTAATCTTAGGAAATTTGGATCATCTAGATTCATTTGTAAGGCTCTCATGCAAAGTAAATCCAAATATTGATTTGTAGTTTTTCAAAGTGGAAATAAGTGACGACTTCTTGAAAAGTACATTAGGTATGTTAAACTTGAATCAGGTCAGTTGACGTTGAGTTGTATATCCTCCAAAATGAGGACTTCCATGAGAAGTATACCTTTACATAAAAATAATGTATAATTTTTGGAGTATTATCAAGGAAAATGAATGAATGACTGCGTTAGGTGAAATGGTGTAGGGTGTCTGCGGCCAGGCCGACTACCTGTGTTCTATTACATTATTGCATAAACTGTTTAATCTTAAAAAGCTCGCTTATGGTTTGTATAAAAAAAACCTCAGACTTTCATAACATGAAAGTAGGTAAGAGTTAGGTTATTAGGTTAAAGCCATCTAATGCCGTTCAACGATATCCGTTATGCAATTCGATTTATAAAATCCAGAAAGCGCACCAAAAGGCTCACAATGTATGGGCATATATAAAATATACGCCCCCCGCGAGTAAGCGAGTAAGCCCTGTTCACCTATTCGATGATTTGTCTTCATCACGTCTCTCATGTGGAATTTGGGAAATTGAGAAAGGAAGTTGAAATTTGTACGCATTATCGCCGCAGTTGAAGTTCAGAAGCCTGAAGTAAGCAAGCACTATAACGTATAAGTGACGCCAACGATTAACCTAAAATTAGAAGCAAGTATTTATCAAGAGCATCTAGATCTAAAATGTAGACAAGCCAAGTTTTTGCGAAGAATTCTGACCGAATTGAAAATCAGCTCAGAGTTGTAATTTTTACGTATGACTCTGAGATGCCGAATGTCAAAGTTTCCAAATAATATTTCCGTTTGCTATTTTTGTGCTTATCTGTCGCTAGTAGTAAATGTTGCATTTAAACTTTATGCGGCAGACATTGACAACTGAGGTAAGCTACACAATATACTTTCGGTGGTAGCTAGCGTCGAAATACTTGTAATGAATGCAGCTAAGTAAGATTAGAAAGCCCCTTTCCTACTACATTGTCGTGATTTGGCGGTGCTACATTGTTTGTTGTTCACCAAGCACTTACCAAAGTACATTTAACAAAGAAAGCTTCAAGCGGAAGCTGACCAAGCAATCAAATGCTAACAAAGGTACATCAGAGTTGTGCAATATGCAACAAGTAAGAACAGTATAGTCAGGCAAAATCAACCATTAATTACCCTACAAAACATCGTCCAACACAATTCTTATTTTTGTCTGAAATATTAAAACTTAGACTTTCCTTCTCTACAAAGGGTCAATTTTCGTGAAAATCCTTTTTGGGATTGTTATAGTCGACTCCAAAAAGTAGGGCGAGAAGGTCCAAAATTGGTACAGTTAATTTTTTTATGTTATATTACCATTATGATACAACTTTGATCATAAAGCATTGAATTTTTTACCTTTTGGTCGTGTGACCTTCAGCTTTCGTTATATGAGAGAAGGTGCAAAAATTGCTCCAGCCAAAAGTTTTCATAACAATATAGAATGCCGAAATACTACGACTTAGTCACTTTTGTCGAGAAATTTTAAAAATTTCAATTTTTTTCCTTGTAACAGCTTTCTAGAGTAGGGCATTCTATGGGGAGTGGTCGAAAAAATGGACCGATCCGAAGCATTTTCCTTGCACCAAATTCTATTAAAATATCTCAGCTGTAGGTTGAACGCAAATTTAGATGGGCAGGCGTATAGAGGGACGAACAGACTTGGAAATATTTTCCGAAACGATCGGTATACTAAAAGATAGGTCTATCTTAAGCCCTTGTGGGTGTTACTTACTTGTTACATTCGTGTTACCGCACCAACTTAATATGCTTTGCAGCACAAGTGGCGCAGGGTATAAAAAAAAGGATGAAAATTTTCAGAAAAACAACCCTTTTTTATTCCACCACCTTACACCACCGCAAAATACTTGCACGTATAGTCGTTGAGAAACACTGATCTAAGGTTTTAATTTGATTTGCGGAATTCGTTGATGTGGGGAATTCGTTTAAGGTGCGTTAATCGCAAACTTCATTTGCCCAATGCTCTTGTTATTACTGCTTTTGCTGCTGTTGATCTTGTTGCTGTTATTGTTGTGATATATTAGCTGAGTTTCGGTTTAAGTTTAAGTGAACTGCACAAACCCGTTTCCTAATAATTGTTCGTTTAAATAATTTCTGCAAAGATATTTGTTTCTGTTTCTAAACGCGTTCACGCTATGGAGGGCGCCATATAGGTATAAGTGTGTGCGTGTGTGTGTGGAGTCTATATCCGTAGATAACTATGTGTGCAGTGTTGCTCAGAGCATTCGACTTAACAACAGTTTGGTATGAATTTATGAAGATATGTCTGCCTCTGGTGGTGGGTTCCGCGTTTTTTTTTTTCTTTTTTTTTTGTTGTGGATAATTTTTAATTTTCTCTTCCATTGTGAATATCAAATCATTAGTCTTTGAGTTTTGAGGAGCCATGTGCCAAACTGCCCCGCCAACAAAAACAACATTTTCATAAAAAATTTTACGTAAGACACTCACTCACTTGCACTTATAAGTAGACAGTGTCTACGGAGGTATGTATGTTTGTGGATTATTGTTTTATTTTGCTTTTTTTGTTTTTTTTGTTTTTTTGTTTTTTTTTTAGCATTATATTTCTCTTGTTATGTTGAGGTGTAGAAAAATTATCATCAATTGTATTACATCAGTACCTGTTAGCGGCCACAATGATTTTTTTTTTTTTTGTTTTCAGTTATTTTCCGGTTAAAATTTTGCTTTTACAATATTTGGTCAACGAAATAATTGAATTATCAATACTTTCAATTAAATTTTATTGAAGTGCAAGTTTTAAATCATTTACAAGCGATAAAAGACTTTTCATCTCTGCATATATAGCAAAAAAAAATTTAAATCATTTTTTTTTTTTTTTTGTTTACTTGTTTATTTATTCAATTTTTCTTTCTCTTCTTTCTCTTTGTATTACTAATTTAGTTGACGGCATTTTTTGCATTTTCTTATGGACCATGCAGTTTAACCTCCGGCAAAGCATTGGTTGATCAGCAAACAGCAGCATCGCAGATTCCAAATGCAAAGATCGCTCAGCAACGTGTCGACCTGGATGTGCATCATCACGAGCACGATCATGATCCGGGTTATTGGAAGAAGAAAGTGATTTGGAAGGAGGGTTGGAAGAAAGTCTGGAAGCCGGGTAAGAAACAAATATGGGTACCATCGTGGAAACAAATTTGGAAGCCGATCTGGGTACCGATTAAAGTTCCTGCTTGGAAAGATATACAGGTACCAGCTTGGAAACAGATATGGAAGCCAATTTGGAAAGAGATACAAGTTCCCGCTTGGAAAGATATTCAAGTACCCGATTGGAAAAGGATATGGAAACCGATATGGGTGCCGATTAAAGTTCCCGCCTGGAAGGATATACAAATACCAGCTTGGAAACAAATATGGGTACCAATCTGGCGTGAAATTCAAGTACCAGCATGGAAAGAAATTCAAGTGCCCGAATGGAAACAGTATTGGACGCCGGAATGGGTAAAGGTAGGAATACCGGGTGAAAAGTATTTGGGTAAAGATCATGACGGTTGGGAGTACACGAGTCATGATCTTTGGAAAAAAAAATTGATTTGGAAATCGCATTGGAAAAAGATCTGGAAGCCTGCTCAAAAGCAAATATGGGTACCCAGTAAAAAGCTCGAATGGAAGGAGGAGTGGAAGCAAATCTGGAAACCGGGAAAGAAACAAATTTATGTAGATGATAAGAAATTGGAATGGAAAGAGGCTTGGAAGCAAATTTGGAAGCCAGCCAAAAAACAAATATGGGTGCCCGATAAAAAATTAGAATGGAAAGAAGCTTGGGTGCAAATATGGAAACCGGCTAAAAAACAAATCTGGGTTGAAGATAAAAAGTTAGAATGGAAAGAGGCCTGGAAACAAATATGGACACCAGCATGGAAAGAGATATGGTTACCGGCTTGGAAGAAAATTTGGAAGCCAGTCATCATATCTGAATGGTTCCCAACACCCGATCATCATCATCATCATCATCATCATTCTCCCGAGCCAGAGCATGGTTGGGATCGTAAAGATACTGCGAAGGCTAATAAAACATTGTGGAAGCGAGCTGATACCGCATCAAACAATGAAACGTCCGTAGCCGTTCAAAGCACACAACTTAAGCCAATGAAACATATAGCATCAGGAGATCGAAAAGAAACGTCTTCAAAAGCTTTTAAATTTCCAGGGGCATAATATATAAAACAATATGAAGTCATATTTGAACAGAATATTTCGAAAGAAAGAAAAGAAAACAAAACATGCCATGTGGTTTTATGAAGAAATTGAATTAAAGAAAAAGTCATTTAAGCTAAACCATACTCATAGGTCAAGCATTTGTAAATATATGCACACGTTTAGTTTATGCTATAAGAATAACTAAGAAAATCATATAAACAGATAGAGCGGGAAATGCAAAAAGAAAGAAATAAAGAAAAGATTACGATTACTTAAAATATCGAAGAAAGTCAATTATTATTATTATTATTATTATTATTATTAACAATTATTTTCTTTAAAAAGGTGTCCTCTCAAACTGAAAACAATACTATTTTAGAACACAGCCAATTACTTTACTCCTACGATACCTCTGATGAGAGATTTACAATGTTCTCGAGAAACTATGAAACTTTAACTTATGTTAAAAATAATTGTGAAAGAGTTCTTTAAACTTATGTTTATTGACATTACTCATGGTTACATGGTTTTTTTTAATTTTTATACCCCCCACTGTAAGATGGGGGTATACTCATTTTGTTTTTTTCCAAAAAGGAACGTAAGTAACAACCAAAAGGAAACTTCAGAGACCCTATAAAGTATATATATTCTTGATAAGAGTGAAATTCTGAGTTGATTTATCCATGTCTGTCCGTCTGTAGGTTTTCTGTTTGTTGTTGCCACTGCTCTGGTTGACTTTAAATTTAGTAGAAAAATTCGAAGTTCTTATACGCAGGTTGGTACTGAAAATGGGCCAAGCTGGACATAGCAGAAACCCGCACCGAAGCCTAAAATGAAATCAACTCCATTTTTCTTAAGAAAAAATTTTGAATTCTTGTTCTTTATTCGGAAATTGGTAAAGTTAGACTACTGAAACTTTTCTCATTTGCTTTACGAGAGACTTTACAATCTAGATCCAAAAATGAAACCAATCGCCCATGCCCACACAAAGTTAAGAGAGATTAAATTTTCTTTTTTTTTCACTTTTTCGAGGTTTTATGCTTATTTATCATAAGGCAAACAAGACCGAATGTTTAAAACTATTTTGTACATTCCTTAAGTGAAGATATATTATCTGCCTAAAAATAGGTTAATTTTAAAATGATTATGGTAAACCCCGCGATTACTTTTTTTTTAATACTACCAGCGATATGGGTATCAAATAAAAGAAATTGGAGAGTAGAATGCGATGGTGGGTATGCGAGATTCGGCTTCTCCCGAATATAACTTTCTTACTGGTTTCTTTCTATTATATATTAAGTTCATTTCATCTGAAAAGATAAAAAAAAGGTCAAATTTTTGTCTAAAGACTTTTTGTAGAATACAATTCAGAAATTTTAATTTGTTTTAACTGACAGACACTACTTGAGGGCAAGCTGATAAAGTCGTAGCAGCTTTATGTACTGAGAACGGTTTTCGAAAGTAAAGGTACTTTTGTGATATACTTTTGTGATATAAGTATAGTCTTGTAACGGGAAAATGTCTTTTTTTTTACGTAAGCGCAAAGAAAATTTTAGGACAGACAGTATACGTAAAAATAAATAAAAATTATGTACTGCATTTTTCGGACTATAAGATGCACCTTTTTACATAGAAAAATGATCCGAAGGTAACAATAAAATGTTAATAGATGGTACTGTTGCTAGTACGAGTTATTTTAATAATAAATAAAAATTTTGATCCGAAGGTAAGATTAAAATATATTTTTCTACAAAACATCTTATAAACTTGATGTGTGTCTTAACGTCCGGCGCGACTTACACTGTGCTCATATTGACGACAAATTATTAAAGGCTGTCTATTCAATTATCAATGAGTAGGCAGATCAATGGGCATCATTCTCTGCCTGCACTTTTGGTCTTCTCTAGGCCATAATTGTTAAGGAAATGTATTGAAATTTTTTCAGTTTGTTATTAATTTTTTTTTTTTTTTTTTTGGATGGAATAGGCCCCGAGAATGCTATGTAAAGTTTTGCAGTTGTCAACACGCCACCGAAGAAATGAAAAATGTGAAATATTTCTTACAAATTGTGCATGCTTTCTAATTATAATAATTTCATGTGTCTTTACACTTTTCTCACTCTCTCCCTCCATCTAAGTCCAATATTTTCTGGTTTAAGCCCTGACTTCTATCGTGTTGCTCACTAAAATAATTTATACTTTAAGTTTACATTCGATTCCGTTAGCACGAAGTTTGATTAGACGTAGAATTGTGAGTGGAAAATGATCAAAAACTACCGGGAATTTTGCATGATTAAAAAATTATGTGAATTTTTTGCTATGTTCAAGAATTACGGGGAGTTTTGCATGATGTTCAAAAACTAAGCTGGATTTTATACTATGGTTACGAAATTCGCTTCTCTCGGATACGTTATCGCATCACTAGGTCGTGGATATTCTTTTGAAGAGAAATACACTTGCACGTTTTCATTCCAAGATTCTTTATTTACGATCAGTTTCTTTGAGGGTAGGATTAAACTTCCAAAGGGTTTGGCATTTCCGTAACGCTATATTAAAACGTAAGAAAAAACTTGTTTACTGCTACGTTCAAAAATTAAGGGGAATTTTATATTATGTTCAAAGATATATGGATATACAACTGCGGAAAGTGAACTATTTATAGTTCGTAATAGTTACGATGCTATTAAGAATGAACTATTAATGACGAATGTCCAAAGATTAACTGAACTTTTAAAGTATATTTCCAAGGCGTAAGGTGACTTAAAAAATGATGTAAAATTACCTCAATTTGTAAACCTTTCGGCCACAATCATTCTAAGAGAAGGCAAGACTTTATTGCGAACGAAGACTGCTGTTTAATATACAGTCCCCTAATAGTATGTTCCTACAAAAACAGGGTCCTTGTTTTCTACGGCTAAAATAAGCATTGTGTTGGACAACATGGTGTAGGGTATTTAAAAGTCGGCCTAGCCCAACTAAAATCATTTCACTTGTTAGCTTCACAATCACGCAAATAAATAAACATAAGTAGTTAGGTGTAGTTAATGGCAAGTTCATATTTAAAAAATTGAAATTTTATGTTTGAATATGCTTTTCTTCATCCAATTCCGGTAGAATGTTCGGTAAAGGCATCCATTCATTTTGTATAACAGGTCCCCAAACCTTTTTCCATACAGGCACGTACGTGATTTTAGGTCGCCAATACTTAACCCATCTTGATTTCCAGCTTGACTGACGCTGCCAAAATCCTTCCGCGTCAGCATCAAAGGTAGTTCTATGCTTCACACTTTAGATAAGAAAAAAAAATACGATTTACATACAATTGCGTTATGTCTCTGTTTTGTTTTCTTTAAATGCTTCTTACACTGTTCCCGCTGGATTCAAACTTAAACATGTCACGAATTCACTGCTTAGCACACTTATAGAACAAAATATAATTATAAATGTTAACTAGAAATTATTTTTAATATATTTTCAATATTAAATGAAATATTTTGTAAAACTTGAACTCACTCTCATTGTCTGACTTTCTTTTGAATGAATAGAAAAAAAAAAAAAAAATGCAACTTAACACCTCAAGGGTTTTTCAACAAATCCAAAAATATTTCTTTTGGTAATTTCATTAAATACAGACCATTCACAAAGCATGAATGAGTTAATTACTTTTCTCTAATTATTCATTCAGTACTTGTTGATTTTAATTTTCACAAAACGCAATTAATTATAAATTCAATAGGTTTTTATTTAAACCGTTAAAAAAAGAAACGTTTGTAATTTTTAATGATTTTCCTGAAATATTTCTACTGCGAAAGATAACAATAACAATTCGCGCGCAATAATTTCGTACACTTGTACAAAAGTCACAACAGTAAGTATGTTTGACTATGCTTAGCATATATGATGAATATGCAGATCGAAGTATATTTATATGGGACAATACGGATATTTCCGCTATAAAATGCTTACATAATATCTTTAGTGCAATTATGTTTTCAAGAATACCTAAAATTACTTTATCATATTTCACTTATATCATATCCACAAATACCTTCGCAAGTCACCACAGCTGTTAGGAAGAATAAAATATAAACAAAGTCCTCAGATCAAAAATTATGGACACATTTTATTCATTCGAGCTCCTTCCTATACATCTTCCTATTACAAAAGAACAAAGAAATTTTATTTTCAGTTGTATTTAAATATTTAAGTGTATATGTGTATGTATAGTCTTCATATAACTACGGTTAGACGATTTAGAATGTCAAAGTGCTCAGTACTCAGAGAACTTTGCAAAAACTTTGGAAAATTGTAATTTTTCCATGACTGCTCAAAATAAGGCGTTGCATGGGGAGTGGTCGAAAAAATGAGCGTTCGTCGTTGGGTCAAATTTCCGCAAAAATATCTAAAAAATTGCAATTTGCAGCGTGGACACAAATATGCATGGACGGACATCAAATGGACAGATAGACCGACAGACAGGCTTAGATCGTTTTAAAAAATAATTTTGAATCGAAGGCGGATTTTATCTTAAGCCCTTTTGGCTATTAAATAATGAACCTAGCACAGCGTGAATCCTCTCATAATAGCCTTTCCAACAATGTCCAATGTTAATTATTTAATTAACTTTTCAATTTTAATTTTTGTCATTCGGAAAATCAAAATACTTTATTAATATGTATAAATATATATATATATATATATATAAAAGAAATTGTTATTCTTTTTAATCGTTTTAATGGTTTCCTGATTGTTTCCCATTCTTCTTCCTTGACTTGGTCGCTTTTGCTCTTCTATCATCTCCTCTAGATATATATATAGTGTTTTGGAAAATACGCGAACTAAACTTATTTAATTTTACAAGTTATCCGCCTGAGTGGCTTCAAATCTCAGGTGCGCTTTAAAAGAAAAGAATTTATTCTCTGATTAAATTTATTGCATGTGTATGTGTAAGATATAATTTAAGTATCGATTGAGATTGTGTCCAACTTATCCCTTATAGCTTCTCCTGAGCACCTTTCACGTAAGGTTATCGCAGAAAGGAAAAATAATATATTTACTGTTTCGATAAATAATATAAAAAGGCATTACTAAGCGTAACGAATTTATAAATATTGTTAAAAAAAGATATTTAAGATTCATAAGGTGACGAAAATATTATTAACTGACTTGTGCGGCTTACCGACCGCACGTTATAAACAAAAAACCTCTGAACAAAAGAAATATTCCTCCGAACCGAAAACCAAATTTCGACAATTATGTTTAAAATGAAACCTTATCTTTCTCAATACAATACAATTTCCAGATATTTTTAAAATACTTCATAAAATGCTTGGCATTTTGTTTAGCTCAGTGACATTCTGGAGATCAAACTAATTCTAATGGGTACACTTATGATTTATTAACACATATTCTCAGTTGTTTGGAATTTTTATTATTTGGAATTACTGAGAACGATGGCTTTTTTACAAAGACCTGTTGAATTATTGAGAACGAATCTGCACTTATTCCTTAAAGCGGTACAATACATGCAAACTTATCGAGAATTGTAAACAAACGTATTCTCTCAGATGGTTGGCTTTTTTACAAAGACCTGTTGAATTATTGAGAACGAATATGCGCTATTTTTTTGGCTTCGTTGGTATGTTCCTTGGTTATTTTTACCAAACGTCGATTAAATTTATCCATGTCGGCTTCATTGCCCGCCTCTGTTGCCTTTTCTAATGCTTTTTGAGCATCTTCGCGGCGCTCAGCGCGTTTAGCCAATTCGCCGGATTTTGAAATTGTTGGTTTAGCATCGAATACGTAGACCGGCTTGATGCCATTTTCAAGCAGACGTATTATGCGATAAAACATGCCCATTAAATGCGAGGTTGTTTCGCCGTCCACGTTAGTGAGTTGAGCACCCTCTGGCCGTACTGCTATCAAAAATTGATATAAACACATGGAGGCACCTTCCTACCGAAATAATTGTTGATGTCACTTTCTTTAATAGCGTCCTAGAATTCCCATAGCATCCAATTTTATTCAGGATTTTATAAAACACACAGGTTCATCTCTGATCGATGCACTCGATTCGCACACTAACTAGCGTTTTTTGTTTGCATTTGCCGCTTCAAGTATTTTGTATGCCAACTCTGTTTTAGTTCCAAAGAAACGTTTTGATAATCGGCACTATTTTATTCAATTTGTATTAGGAGAATGGAAAATAAATTACAATTGCATTCGTTTTTATTGCGAATTTATGAAAAAGAAATTACGGTATATAACTCTCATCTCAAAATTCGACGTCTAGGTGTGGGAAGTGCCGTTTATTTTAGTATTTGTAAAATCAAGAAGATAATAGAAATATGGCAAAGTCATGAACTTTTAAATGCATCAGGTTTTTGTTATTAAGCTACAGCCGACAGCGAATTTTCATTTCAACTTCACGTTACTCGATAGAGTATGGGTGTTTGTTACGTATGGAATCTAAAGTGCCATATTTTAGCTAGAAAGCAAAAACTCTGTCGAGATTCATGTTCAAACGAAAATTAAAGTAAAAAATCGACATAAATATGCACATTTGACTAAATTAATAGACAGAGAATAACGACTTCATCTCAGAAATTCCAAAATATAAATATTGTAAAAGGATAAATGTTCACATCACTTCCAACTGCAATAGTTTTTCTACGCAGACCCGTATGTGGCGATAAACGTAATAGGCAGTGATTCATTGCTTTTGCTTCGTAATATTAAGTCATTTATTTGTACTTTTGTTATATTTAAGTTTTCAAGTATACTCACTTGCTTCAGTTTATATTTCATTTATTTAAATTTTTTTTGATATTTTTATCTTGCAGTTAGTCGTTTATTTTTTCCAACTTTTAACTATTTATTATAAAAAATTGGATTGATAGAAATGAAAAACTAAAAGCAGGATTGAAAAATATTTTAAAAGACAGACTTGAGACAACTTTGAGATATAAGAGGTTATGTTTGTTGTAAAAAGGGATTTACAAACCGACATTTTTTTTTTTTTTTTTGGTTTAATTTTGAAATCGTATATTTCATCTGCTGATTCAATTACTTTTCTTCCTCTTCTTTGCACTATTTTACTATGCGCCCACCGACGATGTCACAACTATTCCGTTGGAAATGCAACAAACGAGAAGTCTTTATTGTTTCTGAAACGAAATCGAGCACAGAATTTTTCTTTGAAGCCGCCAATTCGTTAACTACATATTCATATGTATTGATATTACTCTGTTATAAAAGAATATTTTTTAAAATACTTGTATTCTTTGGACTGCATTAACCTTGTGTCTGCTTTTAATTTCGTCATTGTGTTCATTAAGAGTTTTTTCTGGTTGATTAGAATAGTCTCTCACTCAAACAAGCACAAGAACATAAAAAATTGACAAGCAGTGCATTCTCTAGAGATAATAAATATTAGCTTAATTTATCCTGTCGCTGGTTGCATGTATTGTGCCGCTTTGAGAATAAACGCATATTCGTTCTCAATCATTCAACAGGTCTTTATAAAAAAGCCTCATCGATGCGAGATTAATGTGTATATTCATTCGTACTCAATAATTTCCGTATACAAATTCTATATAATTGAGAAAATACAAATTCCATACAAAGAAACTTGACGAACAAATGCAAGGATTCACCAAATTGGAGCAATCTTTACAAAGTGATTTAAAGGCTGAACGCGAAAAAGTACGCAAATGCAAAGAGCAATTGGCTTGTTTTGAAAGACGCTTGGAAAATGGCTATTACGAGCAACAACCTCAGCCGGCTAAATTGCGTTTTAATAGCGCAGTAACAAACGGTTTGAAAACATTGCCACAAAGAGTTACGTCATTACCGACATCAACGACATTAAGCGTTAGTTCATTGAGTACAGAAAATAGGAAAAGATTATTGAATGCAAATGAGTTAGGACACAAGATGGCATTAAATAAAATACTGGAATTATCATTTAAATCAAATTCATCAAAATTATATAAATTATAAATGGACATTCTTTTTGGAAAGAAAAGAGAAAAATATTATATTTATATAATTTTTACACAAGCAGAAGGGCTTTCATCATTTTTCTTTTGAAGTAAATCTCTTATGTTGATGAAAATAAAAAAAATTCGTAATTCTCTCGAAGTAAATTTAAGTTGATTAAAATGGGAAAACAGAATATATATATATATATATACGTATATGTTTGTAGTTTTTAGTTTATAATGAATAATAAATTCTTCGAAAACACCAAATTTTTTATTTTCTTTATTTAATTTTTGTTTTTTTTTTTTTTGACCAGTTTCTTGCCTGACTGGAATCGTCATCCGAAGATGTGGGCGACATTTTTGCATTGTTCGGTATGAAACCGGATGAAACTGACTGCAACGACAGAATACCGCACGTTCATCAAATCTATTCATCTCCTTTTGATTTTGGCCATGTTTTTAAATTTAGATTTTACCGCTATACGGCTATAGTTGGCCGTGAATGTGGTAAGTGTGTGTGTGTTTTGTATAATTTTTTTTGACGGTTGTTTGTAATAATTTTGTTGATTTTTTTAGTTTTTTTTTTTTATGTGGATTCTTCATAGTTATGCCGCTACGATGAAGCATATGAATGCACCCGTTGCTGATATCAGTAAATTTACTGGTGGTTCCGCCAACATCATAAACTTTTAAAGAGAATATTTTACTAACCGAGGAACTGGTAAACTCTTCGCCCATTTCTGAGATAGGAGCAAACAGTGAACGACCTTTAACACCTGCAGAGCAGCCTGTAGAGTGAGTCTGCAATCATTTAAGTGCTACTTTAAGAGGATTGGAGGCTATAAGAGGGGTACACGTATAATTGCCACAGTGCCTCAACTTTATATTTTGTAGCTTTAATTGCAGAGGAACTGCTAAATTAAGCTAAATTTTACCCAGTTTTAAAAACCTTACGCAGTCGTAAGCGTGACCGATGCCTAAAAAAAGCGTAACAACTTACCTGGTTTTTTTACTAGCAGAGATAAAGATAATTCATTGATACACATGTGGCTGATCTGCCTTTCTGATAATCAAAAGAACGGATCAGAATAAAGTTTTTATAATCTAATTAGTTTATTGGCCATGGAATAGATTGACTTAATAAAATTACTACTAATTAAAGAAATCTGTCTTAAATTGGCAATACCGGTTACATTTTTACCTGGCCTACGAATCAGTCTAATTGTGATAAACCGTCAATCACATGGGATGATACTATTAGGTCAACTCTGACTAAGTGCGTAAGATGGGCTAAACGGTTTCCATTAACGACAGCTTTAATCATATCATATTTTACCCCATTATGACAAAAGCCGAAAGGTTTCTCTTCGATCATGCTCTACGGTTGAGTCTATGGAATGGGGATGTAAGATTTGGGAAACATAGTGACATCATTCAGGTTATATCCTAAGAGGATATTGCGGACAATCCCAAAAAAGTCTTCAAAAGCACCAAAGCAATAATTTTATCCTATTTTCAAAAAAAAAAGAATATTCTCTTTCCATATATATTCAAACAAATGGTTTGGTTGAAATGTAATATATATTCTTTATTATATAAATGTATCAAAAATATGCATTCATATCCCCTTGTACGTCTCCTGAATAGTTTTATACAATTTTTATAGGCGTGGCATTCGATTTTATTTCATATTTATATGTTCATCGAAATCCATCTCGGATATTACTTTGAACACTTCATGTCGCCGGTTTTGTTCTGCTCTAGGGGATTCTACTGCCAACTCAATAGGTATATATATTTGTTGAAGCATAACACTTCCTGATCGACATACACCCACTAGCGGGGGTCACTCCCTTCATATCTCCTCTTCTTCCCTCACTTCTCTCTCACTGTGACCGCATTACACGTATAAAGTAGGAAATATGCCGAAATAGTATCAATTTACCGTCAATTACTTACAACGCTCATCTATTACTTGAAGTTATCCTTTTCTATATTTATTCTATAAATCTTTATTCTCAAATTCCTTACACTTATTTAACTTATTTAATCCTATAAATCTTAAAAACTTAATTACTCGCTCCAAACCTTTTTCGCAACTATTCACTTCGTACAACTTTTTGATGGAAAAAAGTCACGCGAATTCTGCTAAGTAAGAATTTTAAATTATTCAGTTAGAATATTTACGACTGGTTCCTATTAACTGCTTTAAACAAACCCCCTACTACTCAGCGATCTTTGTAGATAAATATTGAAAGTTGCAAAGTTTCTTTCAAACGATGATTGTTCCAAATTAAAACATTATATGTGGAGTGGTCGTCAGAAGAGTCCGATCCCAATTCAAATAGAGTTCGTCGCTGGGTCCTTTGCTTTCATCTTAAACGAGATTTTGCAAAATATGAAAAAACTAAATTTCCATTCTCTACAATATTGTATGGAATGAATCAATATAGATAGTTCACCGTGCGATGACACGTGCGTTAGTCATCACAAACACCGATCCTTTTCAAGCGGCACTTAAGATTAGCCCTAAAAATAATAAAGTGAATCGTTCGATACAGACAGTGAGGATTTCCAGACATAGCCGTTAAGGAGAGACTAATGGATTTCTCGAAAACTGGCAACATAGTGCCAGCTCATTTGCAAAAATCCACGAACATGTGCGCCAGTGAACTGTGCTTTTTTCTATATATTAGCAAAGCTTAAGATTGTGTTAACTTGATGAAGAGTTCTTCTAAACTTTTCAATCCTCCTTCAAATGCATCTGTAGACCTTAAACTTTGTCCTGCGTCTCTTGAAATAATGGGTCATATTGAAAAAAAATCCGTAATTGCTTCCACTACGCTTTCGTTGTTAGTAAGGGTTAGACAGTAACATGGCCCTAAAATATTCCATAAATTTAGCAAAATATAAAACTAAAAATCAATCCTCTCCGAATTAAACTAAAAATCAATCCTGCTCCTTGGTTACCCATCCATAATTCTTCGTTGTCATCAAAAGTTACCCCATAATTCTCGCCTCCATCCGATAATATAGGTATCAACTCCATATAATCCGATTGTCTGGAGAAATCTCCATTAAAGCCACAGAAATTGGGTAAATAATGAGCTCTTGGACGTTGACCACCTCCGCAATAAACTTCTAAGCTATTCATCAATGTATATTCATGTACTGAAACTGCCTTAGTTGAATTTTTTATCATAGTTTGCCACACCACCGGTGAGTTGCCGTAATAGGCGCATTGCCAATTGTTTTGTATGGCTGGCTCCCCTATAGCCCTACACAGTTATAGGCTTAACTTAAAACTATCATAAAAATGTATATATACGTATATATACGTTTTATATATATATAGATAATAATAAATAAATATAATCCCTGTTTATACATAATATACATACATATGTTGATATCTGCAAGAGAAAAAAAAAGAAAAAACTTACCATTTGGCCTATGGAAGTATCGCATTCTGGTGAAGCGATGAGCGGACGCGTACACTGGTTGTACCTAATAATAAGTAAAGATAAACGCAAACTTACCTTTGGGATAAAGCGAATCTTCATATATATGAGGCGGTGAGAGGCGGCGCATCGTTCCTCTTTAAACTAAACTAAATTAAAATAAGTCAATAAGTAATATATAACTATAAATATGTAATAATGTATTTATTTGCCTTTATTTGCCTGTATTTAATACACGATTTTTTCTTTTTCATATGGTGGGCGTATCTTTTGTAATCTATAGTAGAAGAAAGTAAACAAGTAATATATAAATATAATCACATAATAATATATTTACTTTTACTCTACTGAATTGAACTTCTGACGACGGTTGCAAGTCTTTGCAAGCTATGGATTCAAATTCGCTTTAAGTGTAGAATATTTTAGATAACTTATTTAATTTAGAATATTTTATTTAATTTCGATTAATATAGACAGCGATGAATTAAACATCTACAAGCGAAGTAAGTCTTGACTAGCAATTTCAGTGGTCGTGGATTCAAATCTCAAGTGAGGTTAAAGGCCGGAAAACCTTAGATGCTAGGGCTAGTGCGGTCACATGACTTTAGTCTTGGAATTTATTTTTAATAATAATATTAACCTACGATAATACAAAATGTTCTCTTAAACAATTGAAAGGGAAAAGAAAATTGAAGGTCAAGGCACAAAAAGAAAAAACAAGAAGGTAACTAAGCTGGTAGAAGAGGAAAACACACTTATATCCCAATGCTAAGTAATTAGTTAATCTCATTATTAGCAGCAAAGATAGAAAGAAAGTTGTTTTTAAAATTTGTGAAGAGACAATATTTAAGTTAATCCAAAATTTTTTAGCTTTAGTGCCATCTAATGGATATAGTAAAAATGATGATTGGGATAAAGATGACGATGACTTATTTGCCTCCGTTAGCACACAAGAAATCTTAGATCAAAACGAGAAGATCAATAATAATAAAAATAATAACTTTCCCAAAATATCTAAGTTTCAACCAAATAAGCAGATAACCCAAGTTATGGATGGATGCCTCACCCTTTTTTGATGCTTATTTTTATAATTTTTTTTTTATTTCTGCAGATTTTCAAACAGCGAATGGCAAGAAAGTAGTCATATCTGAGGAAAGAAAAAAACAGAATTGCACTTTTGTTTTATGTGAAGTTAGCCTAAAAGAAGGCCGCCATATTCCCTGTTAAAAGGCAAAGCACAGAGTTGCTTGTAATAAATAACAAAGATAGTCAAAAAATGGCAGCTCTGTTAAATAGTTAAATGGTAACGCCATTCAGCTCTGTTAAACGACATCTTAACAAAGAGAGAGAGACAAATGCAAACCCATCGGCAAAACAAAGCGACATCTCTGTTAAAATTGTCTTTCATCTAAGATAACATGTTCATCTAAGATAAAAAAGAAGTAGTTTTCTATTTTTCATCGTACGGTATGTTGGTGAATATCTTATGAGCATAGGTCAAAAATAATCATAAGTAGGATTTGATAGAATTGTTTCACTGATTGAATCAGTTATGTGTTTACTGATCGTATATTTTAATAAGATATATATTTCAGAAATATTAATAAATTTCCAATCGTTGTGGTGAATATAAAAAGAAAAAAAAAACATCAAATTAGGACTGGACAGTGAAAACGCGCCTTTACAGCGGCAACCCTGCGCGTAACGCCAAAAAACGTTTTGACAGTTGATTGTATGTGAGAAAATTTTGTGTTTACAGAAAAAAAAATTTAAGCTTTGCTAGTCGAATGAATATATCATAAGAAATTGTTAAAGATTTTAAGCAAAAGTGTATTTAAAAGATATTTTTTGAAATGTCATCAGAAGCTGCTGAAAATTCACAACACAGAATGGATCGGAGAAAGAAGCGCACCTCCACTAACCAATACATCTTATATATAGAAATGATGGAAAAAGATGCAGTATTTGCCTCTGGGCGAATACCGCGCGATTATGATCCAAATTATTTACATCGAAAATGGAAGGAATTATCGGACAAATTAAACTCTTGTAGTAACGGTCCAACATTAACAGCCGAAGAGTGGCGCAAGGTAAATGATGGTGTAGTGTGATGTGTGTGTGTATGTGTGTGTGAATAAAAATCCATTTTAATCTGATTCGAAATTGTGGTACGCGATTTTAGCGCCTTAATGATTGGAAAAATACTACGCGTTGCAAGTACAGGCGAAGTGTGTCGGGTGAGAAAGATATATCAATGACGTCGTTGGAATTGCGAGCTCTAGAACTTTTCGGTAAATCTCCTAGCAGTTCAGCTCCACCAGAGCAGGTTACGATACATTTTAAATCGGAAAAAGATGATGAGGAAATGGAACATATATCTACAACGGAGACATTCCAGAAGCAATTACAGGCGGCCGTCGAAGAAGCAATTGGGGGGGATGAAGACGGTGAACATTTAGTAGAAACAGAACAAGAAGAAGCTGAAGAAATTTTACCCGAAGCACAGAATACCTCCGTTATCAGTAGTACTGGGGCCGGTGGCGACACAATTGTGGTAGAAGAGACAACATACCATGAAGATGATGTTAAAGGCGATGAGCATTTAGAATTCATTACGCAGCGACGGCCAACTATCGTGTCATCATCAACAGCTAATTCTTTGCAAACAGTTGTTACGTCCGCGCCAACAGCAACCGTGACGAAATTAATAAACGGCGATATACCATTAAAACGTTTGAGATCACAGATATCCGATCAGATTATATATGAAGGTAAGCTTGTTTAATTAATTTATATATTCAAATGTTGCATTGCTTCTTCTATCTATTTGGTACTTGCAGTTAAAAAAGCGCCCGCGCAAGCAACCCATACGACGCGAACTTTTACAGGTACTTTCAATAAAGTTAAAAAAAGAAAAAAAAGCAACAATATTTTTTATTTATATATATATACTTTATTTTACTGTTGCTAATGTTTGTTGTCCAATTGATTTGTTCGTTTGTGTAGCTTTGCCATTTTAGCAGAGTTTTTATTTGATTTGTCATTTAATAGCATTCAGTTACTTTGCTTTGCCATTGAACAACATTCACTTACATTGCTTTGCCATTTAACAGTATTCAGTTACATTGATTTGCTATTTAACAGAGCTAAAGACAAATGTGTTGCCACTTTTTCTTATTTATTAGAAGCAACTCTATGTCTATTTACAGTTACTGCTCCGACTATTCAACATCACCATCAGCAGGCGCAACCAATTTCGATTACGCAGGCACAGCAACAAATTGGGCAGGAATTAACTGCAGGTATTTTCAATTAAGTTAAAAAAAGAAAGAAAAGCAACAATATTTTTTATTTATATATATACACTTTATTTTACTGTTGCTACTGTTTGTTGTACTTACAAAACAATCATAAGACATAGCCCAAACAAATAATAATGTTCAACAAGTTCGCCTATCATTTCCAACAAGTTCGCCTATCATTTCCACCAAGTTCGTCTGTAATGTCAACTTCACTGTGTTTGCTAAATACATTAAAACATTTCCATTTTTTTTTTGTGGTTCTCTTTAATTTCGTTATTTTATTGTCTTTTTTTTTTTGTTATTCTTTTTGCAGCTGGTACAACAGTAATTGCCACCTCGCAAGATATGCGTGAAGTGGCGCGACAATTGAAGAGACTAGCAGACATAAAAGCTGAAAAGTTGAAATTCGAGATTGAGCAATTTAAGTTTAGAAATCCTGGTTTTAATTATAGCTTTAATCCGTTATAGTACGGTCATCAGCCATTATTGATTCTTCAATATAAGAAATAAGAAATGCAACTGATTAAATTCATAACGTATAATGCTATAATGCCGAAATCGCGGCATCATATTTTACTCCAATTAAGTGAAATTTTTCACGTGATTCATTTTCGTGTTCACGTGGAGTGCATCTATTTCTTTACTATTTACAGGCATTCACACACAAATACACACACACACACACACACACACACACACAGAAACTAGTACACACAGACACTCGCACACAGACACACACACACATGCATAAACAAACACGTACAAAGCCGCGTGTTATCTTAACTGTAAGCGTAGATTTTAATTCGTTTCGTTCACTTTTTCCAGCCATGTTACCTTTTTACTTGATCCGAGTTTATAATCGTAACGTTCTCACTTTGTTCGAATCATATTTTTTATGACCTTTTAAAATTTAATGTATTTTAAGTAATAAGTGTTCACATTTTATGTAATTGAGTACATTTCTCCAAATATCGATTAACTTAAAATTTCGTTATATTTCATATTTTCAATATATATATATATATGTATATGTATATATATATTTTTATTATAATTCATTTGTACAAATAACAAGAAAAGAGAAAAACTAGATGTGCCCCTGATGCAAAAGTTTGTAAAGAAAACAAAATAAATATATGTAGAATAAACATTTTATCTTTAAAATTAAATAAATAAAATGTCGAAAATAAACAATTGATAAAAATAAAATGGAATGAATAAAATTTACAGCATTTTCTATAAACGGTTTGCTCTGCATGCGCGTTCTAACGATGGGCGTTGAAATTAATTGGTTCCGTGGTTTTAATGAGTTATGTAGATCGTTTGCTATGGTTAAGAATGCAAGCTCTAAGGTACGGAGCTGGATTCGCCTCAGTTTTCGCAATTAGCTTACTGATAGAGACGATAGGGGCAATCGAAGGGCGAAGAATTGGAAACTAAGCAGCATACAGAGCTACATAAAATGCATCTGTATGCGTTTAAGGAGTTTTTCATAAAATTTCTATTCTATATAACGTTTAATTTTTTATTGCATTTTTTTTTTTTTTTTTTTTGTATTATTAAAAAAAGGTTTCGTTTGCTTCCTGAGCTTTCCTTCTAGTGTTTGCTAATTTTTATTTCTCTCAGTTCGCAGTATTTTTTCGCGTATTATTTGGTTATGGCAATGATGTGTTTTTATGGTTTAATTTTCAGACCCGCGTTATTTTTATAATGAATTAAAAGTTTTGTGAGTGCATTTAAAAATATATATAAAATTTAATATTTAATTTTTATTTCTAAAAAAAAATAAAACATTTGTGAAATAAATGTATTCAGTGTTGATAAGTGTTCTTAGGAAATTACTACTGCGAAGGCATAAGGCGCCGGGAAAACAGTACATTCCGGTAAGTTAAGCGTATCCTGTCACTAAAATAAACTGTAACTCAATTGTTATTGGTCGCATTATAATTGAAAAATAGATTTCATTTGCTATGACAACAAGAGTTCCCATAATTTGCTTTCCCCTTTGCGCTGATGATGTAAAAAATATGAGATTTTTTTTAATTCAATATTACAATGACAGACTAGGTAATGAAACTAATGGTGTTCAGCTGAATTCTGAATCGAAATTTTGAAGAGGGAAAAGCCAAAGTTTATGCGTTTTGCAAGTAAATTTTATTTCTCTTCGAAAAACGATTGCTTATGAAAATACGCAAACATATGTTCCAATGTTTTTTCAACATATTTACTAATTAGTATAACAATATAATTCTAATTACAACTCTCTCACTTTTAGTTATTAAATGAACCAATTATTAGAAACAAATATAAAGAATGTAAGAAAAGAAGAAAATTATATTCAGTTACAAAATGTTCGCCACTTATTATCGCATGGGAGGCGTAATAGAATTGCATGCTAATAATTAAAGTCGCCAAAGGCTGTCAAGTTACCATTTCATTTATTGTGATTTTATATGCAGGTTAATTTTCTTTATTACTATATATAATATATAAATTCTAATAGCCTTTCTTGAACGATTTGAGTTTTTCTTTTGGAACGTTTTGCTGTTTGGGCAAACGTCTGCTGAAGTAAGCGAAGAGACATTGATTTGGAAATTTTCGAATCGGAAAACAAAGACGTGCACATGAGGTGTTGAAATCTCAAGGCAGCAGGAAAATGTTGTTTGCAAATGCGGAAATTTTGACAATCTGTAGAATCGCGGCGTCAAACCATAAATTCAGAAGGAATTTTTATATAGCATTTCTGTTAAAGAGTATGTTCACGGCAATAAACCAATCGCAAAGAACAAAATCACCGAAGCAATCGTCAAGCCAAACGGTGTAAAGTCTTTGGACGTTAGGAAAAGCGCACGCGTTCTATTAGGAAACGGCTGTTAAAAGTTAAGATTTGAGAAACGGTATTCTTATTAACAAAGGAAGAGTCCACGTTAAAGCGTGAATGCCTTAGTTTATCTTGTAACCTTACGATCAAATAAGAAACTCAAAAATCGAATTAATCCAACTAGAATCGAAGTAATCTAACTAGAGTCGTACTTGTCTGTTTCCGATTTTACTAATCACATACATATCTTTGTAATTCAGAGTTCCAAAGACAACTTGCGATCAAAGAGAAAATACGTGCAATATTAATCAATTGGATTTACGTATGCGAACTTTGAATGGGCTACCAAGACATTGCAGCTGGTCATTGCCGTTACTGATCAACATATTCAAACTGTTAAGGCTTCGGCATGTGAAACATGAATTTCAGTTGATCGGGCTGATCAACGCTTTCGTGAATGAAAAAGTCTGCTTCTAAAAGTTGATTAGTTTTGTTAACCTTGTTGATGATGCGTGTAGCAGTTATCAGAAACGGGAAATACGCTTGAAATTTGAATTGAACTGCAGTCCATTTTGACCATATATATTTTGCGTAGCTTTTCGAACATAGCCGCTGCCGATTTCATTCAGTACGCAGAGTCTAAGTACTTTGCGGAGTTAACTGTAAATGAAAGGGATGCGGTTCACTATAAACCTTCAAGAATTGCTGCCTATGCGATCGTTTTTTCTGTTTTTCAAGGAAAACTTTCCAAGGCTTTTGCTGATAGTTTTTGGCCAGCTCCTTTACAAAGCTATACTAAATGCCAGATTGAGTACAATTTTGCATGCAATTCGCCAAATGCCAAATTAAAGGCAACAAGTTTTTCAATATCACTATGTTAACACGAAGCGCTAATAGAAGAAGAGAGGTGGAAGCAGACTGCAACTTAAAGCTTTGACAGTAACAGTTATCGTTTTTATTTAATGTTTAAATATTTAGCATTATTGACATCCCAAAAACCTTAAGGGGTTTTTTGTATGTATTTTGAAATTCAAAAAAATCCACATAGTTTTTATTTTTCATCTAACAAATCCGACATTTCAAGAATATTTTCCTAAGGCCAGAGTCCTTAGAGTCAAGTACTAGGCGAGAGAGCCAGGTCATCATAAATAGTTTCGTTGTTAACGGACGATGTGGCATTAATAATAGGTCTGAGGGTTTTGGATCGATATTTTCGGAATATTTCGCAATATTAGAGCTACTGACTGTATTGGTTGGGGAATATTCTTGTTAAAATGGATTTATTTCTTAGATTTGTTGAGGTTCACGACAAATTCGCCGGGAGAGTCTTCTGGCTTTTCAGTCAAGTTGCTAGCGTTCAGCTTTAATATGACTTTTCCATGTTAACCTTTGGTCAATACGTTTGCCAAGATATTTTACATAGCTATGGATAGGGATATTATTGCCATCCAAAAGTAACGAAGGTCAAGAGCCTTTAGGTTTTTCTGTATTTATAATCCATATTCCACTTGTTTAGCCAAAGCGAAGTGTTCTTGAGATGATCTTGTAGCTCGTAGAAAGCATTTGTAGGATTACTATATGAAAATAGATTTTCCGATCGCTGACAATATTTTAACTGCGATATACGCGACTGGTTATGTCAAACTTTAGATGTGTTTTCCTCGAAAGCTTACTTTAGGTGAACTTGATTTCACATAAACGAATGCAGCGATCATATTTAAGTTTTGCACACTTTCTCTAAAGAGGATTATATAGTGTTTGGACGTGGGATTTTTTCTTGCTTACACCTTCTTTCACAAGGTAAGGTAAAGTCCAAATTTGACCGAAAACCGTATTTTATTACTTACAGCTCTGCCAAAACTTCGAACTTCAATCGTTTTTTAAAATGTTTAGATCAAACCTGGTTTGCTCGCATCTACTGGTAGGATCAATCGACACGGAATGGACAGGGATGGGTTAGTTTGACGGATGCTTCAGCCTTCCTTGATCAATGAATCGATTTGAGCATGTGTGTGTAACATTTCCGTGGTCGTAAAAATTAAGATGTCGCTCTCGAATTCTGTAAAGATATTGAAAAACTTTCTGACCGTAGTTGGGTAGCCGAAATCGGCTAAAAAATTCGCCTAAGGTACAACGTAAATTGAGAACACTCCGGCTTTCAAAAGCAAAATAAGGGGAAATTTTTCCTGGTTACTTGTAAACTACAGCAGATACAATCATAATACTTTGTACATGATGTGTAAATGATTCGCCAGTGTATGTGTCAAATTTGAAGAACGTTGCTCGCGTCTCCTGAATATTGCGGAATAACGTTCATTCTTCTATCAAATCGTTTGCCTATCATAGTGGGAGGGTTTGCGTACAAAAATTCCAATTGTGCTCAATATGTTTGTGACTTTTGCGCAATGTTTTCCACGTGTTGACTTTCAGATAGGAATTTAGTACTTTTTCCATCAGTTTGTTAAGTAATATGAACTGGCTTAGCTAATCTTGAATTATTCGTTACCATAGTTGGCTGCGAAATTTCGCTTATGCTAAATTTCAAATTTGAATTTTTTTAGAAACACAGAATGTCTTAAAAGCTTAATGTTAATGTGCCGGTACCGCATGGTTTTTTTTTTTTTTTTGACCAACCGTGGTGGTCGGGAAGAATTAAAGGATAGAAGAGAAAAGAGGGGAAAAGTACTTTTGTGTACGTTCGACCTGAAATTGGAGACGTCCGGACAGATGGGCAAGACCGCTACCACCACCTACAAGGCTACTCCAAAGGCCGATAGCACAATCAAAGAACAATGAGTCACGCCAGTGTGTTGCTGAAAAAGCCGACTACTTCTCTTAAAGAAGTTGACTGTTAAGCAAAAGTCTTTCATCGCCCCGGAACGCCTGCCGTACA